CGCCATCTCAAAAATCTCAAATTTCCTTTGTGTAATCCCTAAAACCTCTTAAATGCATTTGTAACGGGTTTTTTTTCACTAAATCCTTATAGTCTATATATTATTTTCTCTACCTTAATCTCAAAACGGGATCAGTCAATTCGATCGACCTCGTAACCACTGAAAAAAATCGAAATAAACCTAAATTAACCATCTTTTCTTTCTAAAGAAAAATTAGAAGTGAAATCTCCGATTCTGTTTATTTCTTAGAAAAACAGCAAGACTGAAACATAAAGAGATTAATAAGAGCAACAATGCTGTAGTATTTTAAGGACGGGCACAATGGTTTTATTAGACATTTGATGAGTTCTCAGTAATTTTGTGTTAAATATGAATACGTGGATAATTTTTTATATCATCAGATTCACAAGTGCTGGTTTAAATATAATTTATTGTTTTAAATATGGGTATAAAGCTGATTACAGCCTTGAGCATTTCGGTGACGGTAGTTTTGTGCTTAGACTAAAATTTAAGCTGGTTAGTACCTGATGTTAGATATTTTTGTTTTATGCGCAAGAAAGTTTTCATGCAAAACTCCATCTGTTGAATGGAACCAAAAAAATAACATTTATATACCATGAGCTCCACATATTGGTAAAATGTTTCTAGAATATTTTAGTAGTTTAGTCAAAGTAAATTATACTTTTGATAAAATGTTTCTAGAATATTTTAGTAGTTTAGTCAAAGTAAATTATACTTTTGATAAAATGTTTCTAGAATATTTTAGTAGTTTAGTCAAAGTAAATTATACCTTTGATAAAATGTTTCTAGAATATTTTAGTAGTTTAGTCAAAGTAAACTATACCTTTGGTAAAATGTCTCTAGAATATTTTAACCCTTTAAATATTTTAGTCAAAGTAAATTATACCTTTGATAAAATGTTTCTAGAATATTTTAACCCTTTAAATATTTTAGTGAAAGTAAGTTATACCTTTGATAAAATGTTTCTAGAATATTTTAGTAGTTTAGTCAAACTAAATTATACCTTGAGTAAAATGTTTATAGAATATTTAACCCTTTAAATAGTTTAATCAAAGTAAATTATACCTTTGGTAGAATGTTTCTAGAATATTTTAACCCTTTAAATAGTTTAGTCAAACTAAATTATACCTTGAGTAAAATGTTTATAGAATATTTAACCCTTTAAATAGTTTAATCAAAGTAAATTATAACTCTGTGTTTATTGTCGACATTTTCTTTCAATTGCAACGACTTGTTCTTTTCTTTCTCCAGTCAAGCAATCGTAATAGTTATGGCATCGCTTCCGAAAAATCATTTTGAAACCTGTTCAGATACAAAATATAACTGTTAAAACCTACTATAATCAGTTAAAAAATAAAATTTATACCTTACTTTATAAACGTAAACAAGACAAACATATCACATCCAGGAATACTATATATATATATATAACCCATTACTACACAATGGATGAAAACACCAACCCTGATATCGACATGTCCAACTTCATATAGTACTGTAACTATGCCACATTTTACCTATGATAAATCATAGATAACACACAAAAATGATAAACTATGAACTGTTTTAAACTATCAAAATTGGGTATATTAAGAGCAGTTGGAAGAAAACTATTTGCTACATTTTATTTTATTTCAAGTTGTAAATCTTGAAAAATTCAATATACATAACTATAAAAACGAAATATATCTATCTTATAACAAACAACAAACTTTCTTAGTTTTTTATTTAAAAATCCGAGACCTGAAAACATGAATAACAAGAGCAGTAAAAGAGATTACATACCCTCGCCCGGCCGTGAATTTTGCATTTTTCGTTTCAATGTGCGTCTGAAATGAGTTCCTAATCAGATAACAATACGAAATTTATAACTACTACACTTTCCATTCTATCACAGGTATGTTATCTGTTGATTAATCCCCCCACCCCACTGAAAGCCCCTAAACTCTAAAATACAGCGTTTCACATGATTATCTAAATTGTTGCGAACATAAAAAAACTAAAAATCATAAATTTGTTCCTATTGCATAGTGCGTTTTAAGCATGTCTTCTACATAAGTGATATAAAAGTCATTATCCGTTCCAGAGATATTACCTATTTCACCCTATTGGTGGCGATCTGGATCAGCATGATTCAGGTTCAGTTTTGTTTTTGAAATCAAGCTATATGGATTATCGTCCAAATTATAATACATTTGTATTTGATAACACAGTGTTTTCATGGTATTTTCACCGCTTCATCGAGAGATGTGTTTTTGTTGTGGGTGAAATAGTACTGATATTGATTCAGGCGGATCTTTCAGGTTTGGGATAGGATGTTAAAACCGGCCTTATATGAAACATCAATAAACAGTTTATGTGTGTCAAAATTACAGCTTAACATCATTAAAATTGGATTTCTAAGCATTTTCCAATTTGGCCCTCAAATATTACCAAGAATCCTTCTCGGATCCAGATCATTTTTGTGGAATCCAGAAGAATCCCAGTGTTGATATGCTTGTAAAGTTTGGTCCAAAGCTGATAATTTCAGACTGAGTTATTCATGAACAACTGGAAAAATGCCATATCTCCCCATGTTAAAAAAATCCTTCAAAGTAATCCAAACCAGATTTTAGGAGGACCGTCCTATGGGGACACCCTATCTCCTGTAAATATTTCACATAAATCGGTATATTATTTTCCAAGATACGCGCACGAACATACATACACCCAAATGCAGTATCCTCACCTTTCCCCCTCCGTGGTCGAGAGTAACAATTGCTATAGTATCGTCGTTAAATAGTTTGTTTGTTTTGAATTTCGCGCAAAGCTACACGAGGGCTATCTGCGCTAGCCGTCCCTAATTTAGCAGTGAAAGACTAGAGGGAAGGCAGTATCACCGCCCACTCTTTTACCAACGAATAATGAGATTGACTGTAACATTATAATACCCCCACGGCTGAAAGGGCGAACATGTTTGGAAGGACGAGGATTCGAACACGCGACCCTTAGATTGAGAGTCGAGCGCCCTAACCACCTGGCCATATCGTTAGAGAGACTTGTATTACTGGATGACTGGAATCTCCATCAATTCGATAAAAAAGGCATCTCAAATTAATTTTTCATTAAACTAACAAAGAAAACTCCACAAATTGGAAGTGAAACTAAAATATGACCGAGAAAAAATAAAACAATATATTGAGGTAAAATGATAAAAGAAAAATTTCTGTTATAAAACTTAAAGATACTAGCAACTTACACTGTAATTCTGCAATCGTTTGGAATATTATATTTCAGAATTTAATTTAATTTCATGTTGTTGTACAAAGTGTTAGGAATAAAAGATAACATTCTTTTAATAGTTCACCTAAGATGTTCCTTAGAGAAAGAGACGATACAAAACAAATAGAGGAAAAAGGAATATGTTGAATTAAACAGCTTACGAGACATGGATTATTTAAGGAGGAGAAATCGTGAAATTTAAATCAACAGAAAATAGATAAATGTAAACTACGGAGAATAAAAAAATACAGAAACATTATATGAAAAAGAAAGAGACAAAATGATATCAACTGACTTTTTCTACATTCTTGGACGTTAATGTTATAACCATATTTAGCAGTATCCTGGTTAAAAACCAGACCAGAGGGGCATTGGAGAAGCCGACCATAACCATGGTTACAGCCAATGAAGGTTCCACGGAAGTTCTCATTTTGGCTTCTTTAATTTAGACATTCAGTCAGTAACACTCGCCGCCTATGCGGTTACTCCGACCAGAAAATTGGTCTGACAGTCACACTTGTAACTCCCCCCTAGCTGAGAGACTCAAGCGTTTTCAGTGGTACGTTGTGACTCGAACCTCAGACCTTCCGATTGCTAAATATCAAATTACAAAGTAAGAGGTTAAAGAGCGAGCTTTTTTGCCATTATGATGTTCAAGTTTCTATCATAGAGAAAGTTACTCGCCACAAATAAAGACTTACCATCTTTTTTGGTTAGTCTTCATTATGTACTTCTTCGTCCTTTTCTGTTTCTTTAGTTTTATCCCCGATACCGGCTAATTCCAGAGAGAAACCATAACAAGATTCTATTATCGCATGAGAAATCTCAAATTCAATAAAATGAAAAATATAATTATATTTGAAAAAATTCGTTCCAACGAAGTGGAAAACATTTACGAACTTGCATGCCACTTTTCATACATAAATTCCAAAAATTTTAAAGGAAACGTTGCATATTGAAAACTAGAATGAAACAAAATTAATACTTGAGAATTACTTTAGGTTAATAAAAATAAAACAAACAAAGCTAAAGAAATGATTCTGTATCCATAAAAATCTCTGTAGGTAAATAAACTTACAGACACACACAACATCATTGGGATGACCGCAGCTGCCACTGGCAAAATCAAACTTTAACCCTGACGGACAGCGATTCGGGAAAGCGATTCCCCCAACACAATGGTAGAATGAGAAACAGTCATCGTCCTTGGGGAATAGTCCAACTGGCTCAGGGCACTCCTTAGTGGGCTTATAATCAGCTGTTAACAAAAACAAAACTAGTAAAGCAACACAACACATTGTTTAAACAATGTACGGCCAGTATATTATATATGTGTGTTAAATAAAACATACACAACACATTATTTAAACAAGGTACGGACAGTATCTTGTAAATGGATTTAAAAAACATACACAACACATTAATACTGTCCGTACCTTATTTAAAGTTGTGTATGTTTTATTCAACCTATATACGAGCAATGTGTATACTGTCCGTACCTTATTTAAACTCGTATACGGATTAAACAAAGCAACGCAACACATTGTTTAAACAGGGTACGAACATGTTTTATACGAATTAAATAAGACATACATGACACATTATTATATAGGTTTTAAACAAGATATGTACAACTTGGTGCTATGTATAGTTTAAACACAATCTGTAGTTTTCCTTTTCTTGGATTGTCCATTTTTGACATGTCTGTTTTTGTTTGTTTCTTATTGTTAAGCGCAAAACAACGCAATGGTCTATCTGGCCACCATATATATACTTAAACCCGGTTTTAAGCTTCCTAATCCTTCTGGCAGGGCCACTTGTGGACTAAGCTTTTTGAAGTGTTTTATGTAGATAGAGACAAAAATTTGTGTTGATAACAATTAACTGTATTAAACGACCTACTTACTAATTGGTTTGACACGTGAACCACACGAAACTCTGTCAGCGTCGTTACAGATCATCCGTTTAGCATCAAATAGGAGACCTAGAGGGCACTGTTCCAGAAAAACCACCTCATCCCAGCAATTATAAAATTTCTCACAGTCTGTCTCGTGCGCAAATTGGCCCCGGTGGCCAGGACAAACGTAATCTTTCAGTCTAATTGGTTCTCTTTTATCGCCTTTATCTTTGTTCTTTTTCCTTTGTTCATCTTTTGTATCGCAGAGTATGTCATTTTCTGGTTTTATACCATCTTCAGAGATAATCTGGTTATCATTGTCATTTTCATCTCTCTTTGTGTTGTTTTCAGAAATAACCTGTTTATCGCTCTCGATGATGTTGTCTTCCTGCTCTCTAGTTTTATCTACAGGGATAACCTCAGTATATTTCCCTGGAATACATAAATGCATAATGTTATTTTACCATATTGATTTATTCAACTTCGAACTTTTGAGATATGAAATATTATTATTATTTCACCAATCTCTATACCTATCTGTTTTATCACGTGTAAACATGGCTACAAGATCTTTCCTCTACATATTTTATCACGTGTAATTATGACTACAAGATCTTCCCTCTACATATTTTTTCTGCATGTAATTATGGCTACAAAATCTCCCCTCTACATATTTTATCACGTGTAATTATGACTACAAGATCTCCCCTCTACATATTTTATCACGTGTAATTATGACTACAAGATCTTCCCTCTACATATTTTTTCTGCATGTAATTATGGCTACAAAATCTCCCCTCTACATATTTTGTCACACTTAAGTGTGGCTACAAAATCTATATTCCCTCCTTTCTCACACGTAATCATGAATACAAGTCCTCCCCTCCCTCTCTCCATTGTAACGTGTAATCGTGGCTACAATATCTCTCCTCCTTCTCTCCATTTTAAACTTGTAATAGTGGCTGCAATATCTCTCATCCCTCTCTCTATTGTAACGTGTAATCGTGGCTACAATATCTTCCACATAAAGAGCTTATTATTTTTAAAACCAATTATTAGTAATTATGGCTTATAGAATGTGATATTACACTAAGTCTGTACGTAACAATTAACTAACCAGAACATACAACACTTTTCGGAAATTCACAACGCTTTCGCTGATCATCGAACAACAAATCGTCGGGACAATTATGGACGAAAGGCTCTCCGTTTATACAGTAGTAGAATCCAGAACAATCAATAGTTGGGAAGAGTCCATAAGGCTTGGGGCATTTACCACTTCCTTCGTAATCAACTAAAAAATAACAATAGTATTAATGTAAACCTGTAGATTCCTCACCTATTTTTAACTTTTTTTTTTAATCGTAGCTAAACGTTTCTTCCTATATTAAATAAACTGGCACGGACTGCCTGAAAAAAAAAAGTTTGAATCTTCTAGAACAAATACAATTAATGCATACAGGATAATTACGATGAACGTGAACAAGATTTTCTACAGATTGTTCAGTTCGTTTTGTGCCACAAAACGGGGGGTATTTTACTTCTGAACTCGTCATAAGGACCAAGTGGCAGGGCCGGATTAAGGTATGCGGAGGCCCTGAGGAAAATATCTTTATGGGGCTCTTTCAAATATAAGAAATAAAATAAAAACTTTATTATATTAAAAAACTTTCAAATATAAGAAATAAATATATAAATCGAATACGCAATATTCATAAATATTGTTAACAAAATATTTGCGGAGGCCCTGAGGAACTGCCTCATTTGCCTCATGGTTATTCGGCAATGGTCATTGGTTTTAAGGGTGGGTAACTGAAAGAATGGAACAGGGCATGTCTGTACTTGTCTTGAAGTCTAAATGATCGTTGGTTTTTCTAATGTATGTAAGTGATGAGATTGGGCAAATAAAATCTACTTCTGGACTAGTCTTGAGGTCAAACCGCTTTATTTAAAGGTGGATAAGTGATGGTATTAGTTAGCTTATATCATACTTCTGGACTAATCTTGAGTTCAAACCGATTTATTTAAAGGTAGATAAGTGATGATATTAGTTAGCTGATATACTTCTGGACTAATATTTAGGTCAAACCGATTTATTTAAAGGTAGATAAGTGATGATATTAGTTAGCTGATATACTTCTGGACTAATCTTGAGGTCAAACCGATTTATTTAAAGGTAGATAAGTGATGATATTAGTTAGCTGATATCATACTTCTGGACTAATCTTGAGGTCAAACCGATTTATTTAAAGGTAGATAAGTGATGATATTAGTTAGCTGACATCATACTTCTGGACTAATCTTGAGGTCAAACCGATTTATTTAAAGGTAGACATCATACTTCTGGACTCGTCATTTGAACCAAATGGCCATTGGTTTCTCTAAATATACAAACGTAATGCTTTAGGTGAGACTATAATTGTTGAATTTTACAATGAAAACTAAATTTAAACATAATTTGCTACTGCAAAATACTGATCGAGTATACTGTTCTGTTTTACCATATTCTAAAAGAGTTAATCGGTAAGGAGTTTTTAAGGTATGTACTTTTAACTGTATTGACTTTGTACGTGAGTGTACTACGTAACTTGAGGCATCTAGAAGTAATAAAGAGAAATCTCAAGTACGTTTGTAAAACAAAAGGTACGTAGCATTGTTTCATTCTAGTGCTAGTTTCGTTTTTATTTGTAGAGATCAACAAAATTAATAATAAACATTTCATCCTCAAGTCACTTTAGTGTTCTAAGTTCACGTCAGCTTAAACTGGGCTGCATATGTCTTCAAGTACGGAAAATGCAGCAAGTCTATTAATATTCTATCATACATCTCAAACACCAACTTCATTTTGGAGCAGATTTTCATTTTTTTTATCAAACTCATTGCGTGGAATATCATAAGTTCAGCTCATTACATAAACCTACCTCATTAGGTGAAATATCACAAAATCATCTCATTACGAGAATTACAAAAAAGCCCAACTTTTATCGTTTGGTATCATAAACCTAGATTATTACATGAAACATCACAAGCTTCGCTCATTATGTGAAGTATCATAAGCCTGTCTCTTTACGTGAACTATCATAAGCCTGTCTCTTTACGTGAACTATCATAAGCCTAACTCATTATGTGGCCCCAAGGTGGCTCAGCAGTATGTATGCGGACATACAACGCTAAAATCCGGGTTGCGATATTGTGATGGGCACAGCACAGATAACCCATTGTATAGCTTTGTGCTAAACTACAAACAAATAATTGTGTGAGGTATCATAAGTCTTGATCTTTACGATAAAAGTCACTAACTCTGCTCTTAACGTGAAAAACTATAATTATTAAATATCTTCTAATTCTAAATCTCCATCTTTTAGCTTTAATTTTACTAAGCTAGATCTCAGCATCAAACTAAAACAGTGTACGATTTTCTAATTAATATGTGACTCAAACAATTGTAAGTTGTTGTTTTTCTTGACATACTCTTTGGTTCTGTCCTATTTCCACAGTCTACTTTCTCTGGTTCATTACAAATCCGGTTATCTTGATCAAACAGCAAACCTAGCGGACAATCCCGTTCCAAGACCACTTCATCCCAGCAATCATAAAACTTCTCACAGGCAGTAGAGTGCGGGAACTGACCACGTAGTTGAGGACATTTGACTTTCTTTTCCACAGTCTTGTCCTTTACCTCAAGTTCTTTGGTCTTGTTGGCGTGGTCTTGTTGCTCGACTTTGTTAACTGGTGCAAGAATTAGGAAAATACGAATAATTAAAAATAATCAATTATATATATATATATATAGATAGATAGAGAGAAATAAATAAAGTAGACTTACTTTAGTGAATATCATTTATATTTCTTGGAAACAATGATCATGTTCTGCAGTAAAGTTTCCATGAGATCAGAAACTTTCATGAAACACTCTTGACATCCTAGTGCCACTCTTTATGTGCAGAGTTCTTATATGCTACGGCTTCACATTTAGACAAATCAAAGTCACAAAGTGACCACTTTTGTGACTTTAATCTGCCTAAGTGTGACAGTAGCCCACAAGATATAATAAAACATAAACATATTTTAATATCAATTATTTTATACAAGAACGAAAAAATTGTCATAGTAACCTTGTCCGATCCCAATTTGTCATGCATGACAAATTGGGATTGGACAAGATTATTATGACAATTTTTTCTTCTTGTATAAAATAATTAATATTAAAATATGTTTATGTTTTATTATTTCGTGTGGACTAAAGATATTCTTTCACCTAACTTAATACCAATAGTTGGATCATGACCCATAGTTCCGGGGACGCTGTCATACGTAATGTTCATTCGTTTCTAATATGTGTAAACTTTAATCCACAAACACTAAGCCCGTCAATAATTTCTAGTTAAAATTACAGCGAAATAATTTGTAATAACAACATACTGATTGGTCGTTTTCTTTCTCCACAATCCACCTTTTCTGGCTCCTTGCAGATCCGATCACTCTGGTCAAACAATAATCCTCCCGGACAGCACCGTTTTAAGACCACATCGTCCCAGCAATCATAGAACTTCTCACAGTCAGTGGGATGAGAGAACTGGCCACGAGCTTGAGGACACTTATCTTTCAATATCATATTCTCCCTGGTTTTGCTTTTTTCTTTTGTTTTTTGGTTTTCTTCATCGTGGTCTTGTTGTTCAGGTTTACTGACTAATAAGATAAACACAAATAACTGCAAATATTCAATGAGTTATTATCGTTTTGCAATAAAAATGGATTTAATTAAGTAAATTTAGTTCTGTATAATCTTGAACACCGGGATTTTAAGAGTGAAGAGGTTGATCATTACAAAATAAAAATAACTGTTCATTTTGTCACTTAGGTACGTACCCTTATTTTTATCTTTAATATACATATATATATATATATTTTAAATAACGCTAACAACGGATATAACACGTCAAACATGGTAAAATTTCCCCCACCTTAAAGCACAACGAAACATTGGTTAATCTAGACATACTAATTGGTCGTTTCCTTTCTCCACAATCCACCTTCTTCGGCTCCTTGCAGATCCAATCATTTTGGTCAAACATCAATTCTCCTGGACATCTCTGTTCTAATACCACGTCATCCCAGCAATTATAGAACTTCTCACAGTCAGTGGGATGGGGGAACTGGCCACGTGCTCGAAGACACTTGGCTTTCAATACTGTATTTTCTTCATTTTTGTCCTTCACATCTGTTTCTTTGTCTTCTGGTTCTGGTTTAATCTCTCCTTACACATAAAAGCAATATAACCAGCCATTATTATGCTTAAATTTAACTGAGTATTTTAACTAACAACATGAACAAGATAGTCGATCAAACATTTTTTTTTCAAAATCTACTTTAATACAGTCACAATTTTGAATAAAATATATCATTCCTATTATAAAAATAAAGCAAAAGCTTTTCATCAGTAAACGTACAACAGGAAAAAAATGCCCAGATATCCATTAACATATCACGTTACTTAAGACAAGGAGGTGTATTTGACAGAACATAATCCACATTTCTTCTAAAGTTATCTGCACCTCTTCCGGAAGCACCAATTGAGGCTTAAATACGAAAACATCAATGTCAAATTCATAGTATATCAATACATAGAACTTTTAAAATCCAAAATTACATTCCTGTGTGATTGGAGACTGGTTTGAATTCCCAAAAGCAATTTTTACTCTTTAGCCTTCAGAAACAGTTACAAACAATGTTGCCCATTAGCCTTCATAAATAGTTACAAACGAAGTTCTCCCTTAGTCTTCATAAACAGTTACAAACAATGTTATCCATTAGCCTTCATAAACAGTTACAAACATTGTTGTCCATTAGTCTTCAGAAACAGTTACAAACAATGTTGTCCCTTAGCCTTCAGAAACATCTACAAACAAAGTTCTCCCTTAGTCTTCATAAACAGTTACAAACAATGTTATCCATTAGCCTTCATAAACAGTTAAAAACAATGTTGTCCATTAGCCTTCAGAAACAGTTAAATCGATGTTGTCCCTTAGCCTTCATAAACAGTTACAAACATTGTTGTCCATTAGTCTTCATAAACAGTTACAAACAATGTTATCCATTAGTCTTCAGAAACATCTACAAACAAAGTTCTCCCTTAGTCTTCATAAACAGTTACAAACAATGTTATCCATTAGCCTTCATAAACAGTTAAAAACATTGTTGTCCATTAGTCTTCAGAAACAGTTACAAACAATGTTGTCCATTAGCCTTCAGAAACAGTTAAATCAATGTTGTCCCTTAGTCCAAAAAAAAGTAAATAGATGTTATCTTTAATCCCTAAGAAACAAATAAAAAACAATGCTGCTCATTAGACATCAGGTTAGTTTGGTAGTTGTTAAGCACAAAGCTACCAAATGGGCTATCCGTGTTCTGCTCATCACGGGTATCGAAACCTGAGTTTTAGCGTCATAAGCCTGCAAAATGGGGAGATTAGTCACCGGGAACAGCTAAAAAAAAATTCTTGTTTGCTTGTCAGAAATATTTAAAAACAACGCTCCTCCAGACCTCAAAAACAGTTAAAAACAACACTTCTCATTAGCCCTCAGAAACAATTAAACAGTTTTGTTTTACAGACATGTTTGAAGTTAAGCAAATAAAATATAGAAAGTTAATTGGCTCATACATATGATGTTTCTTTGTATTATGTTTCATTTTTTATATTTTTATTACAAAAGTGGCCTTAATCCTTTTTATTTTAATGGAGTTTTGGGAAATTAAGTTAAACAGCATAACAAAAACGTGTTCACCTCAACCATTAGTGGTACATATTTCATATTTTCAGTTTAAATACTCTTCTCAAAAACAATTTGCTCACCTTTTACGTCACAATCGACATTATTCTCAAAGTTACAGACAAAGAGTTTCCGGTCGAAGAGCAGTCCGTCCTCACAGGTACCCAAGTGAGGATTGCCATGGTCGCAGTGAAGGAATTGATTGCAGTTATGTGGATGAGGAAATAAACCCTGCGGACTCGGGCATAACGTATCTAATTAGATAAGTAAATAACGAATTATTATTATTAAATTGCTAATCTCATGCTTGATTTGCAGCTTTCTATAAACCAGTTCATGATGGAAGTCTATGACTTGAAAAGACATGTTTAAGCAGACCAGTAACTATCAAATTAAAAGGAATATTTTCCAAGCCAGTAAATAATAAATAACGGATGAAATACTTCTTAAGTCCAACAAATACTGAATTATTTATTTCATTATTTTCTAAACCAGTTTTATTGAATTATTTAAATAAGTTGGTTTGGTTTGTTTTGAATTTCGCGCACAGCTATACGAGAGTTATCTGCACTAGCCATCCCTAATTTAGCAGTGAAAGACTATAGCTATAACTTTCTTTTTTTATTTAACACACCGTAAAAAATAAAGAGATATAAATTCATATTTATCAATTATTGTTAATGTTTTTTATATTTATTTCTTACATTCAGAATTGTTTCTTATAACATCAAAACCTGTCTAATTCAATGTATACAGATTGGGAAATAATGGTGTGCCACCCCTTTATCAGGAGAAAATGAACTTCCCCATAGTTCAGTCACATCCTGATAGTGTACACTATGATTGTTTCTCTTCCAACCAATCAGAAAATACCACACCAACATAAATCGTATAAAAAACAGGTAGTCATACTATCCCCAATAGCAGTAGTGTGTATCCAATCATGGTTCCTAAAACTGAAATACCGTTTGAAAACTATGTAGATATCAAAGATTTGGCTGGTCCACGATACTCCATGTAAAACGTTGTGACAAAAGTCCATGTTTCAGTAAGAGCTGTAGGCAAGACTCTGAAGCGGTTATGTGAAACTGGCACTGTTAAGAATAGAATTAGTCAGGGTAGAAAACAGAAACCTCCAAAAGTGAACTTTTTAGTATCTTGGAGTATGTTCTTTGCGAGATAGATGACAGCCGAGTATATATCTTGCCAACAGCGTTGCTATAAATACAGGTGTGAATGAAAACAATAAGATATTAACACGAAGCGGTCTTAACGAACACAAACAGTGGTCAGGTTCGATACATACAGATGAATCAAGTTCAAATTGTTTGGACTCTAATACAGTTTATTCGATAGCATCAGTACATGGTATCAGCCAGTAGTGATATCCTTACTGCTGACGATGTAAAACAATCTACTATGGACCACCGTGAGGCATCAGTACATGGTCTCAGCCAGTGGTGATATCCTTACTGCTGACGTGTATAAGCACATTCTGATTCACCATGTCATTCATTCAGGAACATGAATCACCTTCCATCTAGTCAATGGATCCAAACATACAGAAATATAACGAAACGATATCAGGACGGCAAAAAACCAATAGAATAATCACAATCATGGCTTGGCCTGCAGAAAGTCCTGATACAAACATTCTTCGAGGCTACATAGGCTAATTTAAAAACTAAGAAGGTTAAAGGGCAATGAAACATCTTGGCTGAATTGTAATACAGGATATTTATAACAATATTGATAGATTAAACTGTAGCATGAAAATAAAATATAAACCAAAAGGCTCATATACGAAACTGTAGAGCATATTGGTTTGGTTTTATTTTTTTATGGTAATGTCTAGTACCACTAATAAATTCACCATTTAGTTTTCATAATTCATAGCTTGTTACTAATCATATGCATATCACGTGTGTGTTTCCATTATAATTTCCATTACCGTATACATTTTTAAACATAAATTCATGAAATTCAAATAGGAATACTTCTCAAAATCAAAAAAATTTCTGACCTTCTGGAGCTGATCGATAGGTGGCGAGCTGATATCGTGGCATTGCAAAGAACCCTATCATAACACAAAATAGACTAGTTATTGTAAACATCATTCATTAGCAAATCTTAATAACTTTTCATCTAAGTAAATAAAAATAAAAGATAAGCCTACATTGGTATTTAATTTTACAAGGTTTAATAAATTCATATTTTTAGCCATTTGTTTGTAGTTAAGCACAAAGCTACACAATGGACTACATGTGCTAAGTCCACTACAGTTATTGAAACCGGCTTTCTAGTGTTATAATTCCGCGCACTTGCTATTGTGCTATTAGGGGCATATTGTTATCTCGTTTATCTTTTCCGAAACCGTTCACTAGTTGTGAGAAGTGATAACAATGATTTTAAAATTTATATAAATTTTTAAAATATCAGGTTGTGACTACAACAAAAAACAACATATATCTTACAACGTAAAAAATGATGACATAAAATCGATGGAAAAAATCCTGTATTTTAGGTCTGTAATGCATGTGTAAAGTATTATAACACGTATAGAAAAACTTCGTAAAATTACGTTTTACGTTCTTGGTGTGTAAACAAAAACGATATATAATTTCAATATCACACACGCCGTCTTCTCACTAGTTATTGACAATAAGGAGAAGCAAAATCGCTTCTAATCTGAGGTTATATGACAGATAAATGCTAATCTGGTACCATTGAAAACAATTAAAAATTTACATTCTAAAGCTACGATAGTAAGTTACATTACATTACATTCAGTAACCACAAATAAACATTTTATTTTGCGTAACAAACGGAAAATTTACGTTTTTCAGTCAAACTGTATTTGAATAAAAGCTTATATTATGGATTATTATTCAAATGGAACAAGAAAGTCCTCGCGACAGGCAAGCTAAAGCTAGCCCAGATTATGACAGGCATGCTAAAGCTAGCCCAGATTATGATAAGCAAGCTAAAGCTAGCCGGGATTATGATAAGCAAGCTAAAGCTTGCCGGATTATGACAGGCATGCTAAAGCTAGCCCAGATTATGATAAGCAAGCTAAAAGCTAGTCCAGATTATGATAGGCAAGCTAAAAGCTAGTCCAGATTATGATAGGCAAGCTAAAATCTAGTCCAGATTACTTTAACAAACAAGCGGATGATAGTCAAAATTATGGTATTCAAAGTAAAGCTAGTCCAGATTACTTTGACAAATAAGCGTAAAATAGTCCAGATTACTTTGACAAATAAGCGTAAAATAGTCCATATTATGTCATTCAAGGTTAAGCTAGTTCAGATTATTTTAACATCGAAACGGAAGATAGTCCAGATTATGGCATTCAAGATAAAGCAGGTAAACTAAAGCTAATCCAGACTGCTTTTGACACGCAAATCGTAACTAGTCCAGATTGGGAGCACAAAGGTTATTTTTCTCGTAGAAAAGTTAAGATAACTGCACGTTGTCATGTTTGATATTTTTTTAGATGACTTGAAGTATTAAACTGTTCCTATCCACAGATATTACTCTTATATAAACATCGAGGTTTGGGTGTCTAGAAATATTTAAACCCATGTAAACACGAGACTCACCAGTAAAGTACGTCGCTACTATTAAAAGTAGAAATAATACACCTGTCATCTTCAGACCTTCTACGACGGTTTCAGTCAGACAAAAATACGAAAATCCATTGATGCTATTATAACTGTAATTTGTTTAATCTGTGGGCGTACAGGTGGATGGGTGAAACAGAAAACACCGCCCTTGTTAACCTTGTACTTTACAGCTGTGGGAGATAACCAGGGTGGTGCTGCTCTTCCTAACTTTCACTTTCTTTTCCGAGAATGGGGGAGCGTCAGGCATTGGTGAAGGTCATTACAAACTCAGATATTGACGATTGTACAATACGTGAACGTCTGAAATTATGTTACTCATTCCCACGTGGGAGGTAACAGAAACCTGTTTACCTAGACAAACAGGGTCTTATAACATATATCTTCTGGGTTATTCCAGATCAATTCATGAAAAAAAAAGTAGTCACTTTGTCTGTCTCTTTCCCTATCCATCTGTTTGCCTGTCTGTCTCTTTCCCTATCCATCTGTTTGCCTGTCTGTCTCTTTCAATCTGTCCGTCTCTCTCTCCATGTTTGCCTGCTCTTCTCTATATATCACAGAGTCGGTAGACTATATATGTACGCCAAAAAATCAACAGTGACAGGGAATTTTACTTTAAAAGATGATTGATACTCATTTTTATTTGTTTCTCTACCGACACGACAAGAACCCATCGCCAAGATACCAAACCAGAAAGTGACCAACCAACTAGATTGTTCTTTTTTTTACTTGTTGTTTCAGTCGAGATAACTCTACAACTACTTTATCACTAACATCAGTTTAAACCTAAATCCACTATATGTGTATTGTACAGTGCAAAATGTCATCGTTTAGCGTAATAACTAAGTAATTTAAATAAAAGAAAAATAATAATTCTTGTGTAAATGATGTTATCATTACTCCGTGAAGTCAGCTTTTTCACAGAAATATTATTTTAAAAAGCTTAAATACAGGGTGAAACATGAATTACCAACCAATAGTAGATGCTCATTAGATGACTGTAACATGTAGAAAACTCAATGCTTTGTACACTATACAATCGGTGTCTTTAGGGAGCCAACCCCTATATTATGTATAAAATGAAGGAATAAAATCAATACACATAATATTAAATTATATTAGACACATTCATAGAGTACAATGAATTTCAGTATAGGGGGGGGGGGACCTCACAAAACATGTATAAACAACTTTTTGTAATTGTAAAATGATGTAGTGATGCCAAAAAGAATGCAAACAATAATATACGGATGATACAGTTTTACAAAGATCATCCCTAGATGACTTTTAATATTGAAATTTAATGCTATACTGTAAAATGCATACTTTAATATTACTGCAGTTGACAGTTATATATTCCTGGCTGTTGCTATGTTGTTTGTTTATCATAATATCATGTTCATGTTAGGGTAAGCTTCAATGTAGTGTGTAACTACGAGAACTTACCTACGAGGAAAACCAAGTTTAGTCAAACTTATTATTACAGACTTGCTACAAATTGACAGACCTTGTAATCAGTTTGTACTCCTACATTTTACAGTGTAACATCAAATTTTAATATTTAAATTAATGTACGGATGATCTACGTATCATCCTTATATTCTTGTTTGTATTCTTTTTGTCACTGCGAACTCTACATTATTTTACATTTATAAAATGTTTTTATTACTTGTATATATGTGTCTACTTATCTATATTACAAAGTTCATTACAAATTCTTATACACAAAATAACCTTGTTTGTTGTAAATTGAATATATTTTTACGTTGTGTGTATTTTCATTGCAAAACTTGATGTTTTTTAGAAGTTTCATTACGTGATAGACGAGCCATGGTTAAGTGCCCCAACAAAAAATTCAAAACAGACCGAAAAGTAGGATGTTATCCACTAAAATGGTATCAACTTCATTATTTGGGGTTCGATTCCTGTACAGCTTTGTACTTAACAGAAAACAAACGAAGGTTCCACATTAAAAAATAATTCTACTTGAAAACATGACCTCAAAAGTAAAACGTAATAAGTTTCAACATTTAATTCCAAGATATTATAAAACAAAAATAGACTTGGCATAACCTAGTGGTTAAGACAATCGACTCGAGATCCGTGGGTTCGAATCCCGTCACCGAACATGCCTTGTTAGTACGTCAATAGTAGACATATATCCTGTCATGATTATAAAGATCTGACAGAGGGCTACATCCCGCAGTGAATGTATGTTTTAAAAATAATACTGATGCATGCATATTTCAGACAAGACTAAACTGAAATTCCGTACATATATTATGCTTCTAATGAATACATTTTTTTGCTGAAGTCATTGCTCATGATGACTAGTTTTACAGGCTATAATAACTTGAAACTTCATAACGTAATACTACTTCTTATAATTATTGACTCGTACACCAATAAATTAAACAGCTCTCGTGTTTCCTTGGTGTTTAAATAATACTAGCTGTTGTTTTTCATACACCTTATACTACTGGTTAATAACACAAAATAATTCGATATTTAATAAAGTGTAAATAAAGTTCGGATTTCATTACAGTTGTAGCCCAGTAATTTCTTTAAATAATTCTGTTTAGACTCGATCTCTAGGAAACAATTATTCCATTTCGATCACTCATCTTTTTCCAAGATACTAAAAACTCTCAGACGTAGACCACGCACATACATTTTTAGGCTTTTTTCACGAGGCTGCTAATATGAACAACCTATATATAATGATAAAAGAAGGAGAGTAATCCTTGGTAAAGAAGGGCCGCTCCCATTCTAATTTGTCCGCCTTCGCCTAAACGCTTGTTGCAATATCACTATCTACCATGGGTGTCTCGCTAAAGTTATGGTTGAATCCCACTCTTCCTCTTCGATTAAAATATCACAAAAGTTGGTGGTGGGTGATGTTGACTATCTGTCTTTCCTCTAGCGTATCAGTTCTAATTTAGGGTTGACTAGCCCTGATAGCCCTTGTATAGTTTTACATAAATATTAGACAAACAAAATTAACAAATACTGTAGAAAATGCCCTTGTAGAGTCTTCATGTTCAATAAATAAATATCAATCTTCTAAATATGAAATTATTATTCACGTGATAATAGAAGAACTGATATTCTTATATTTCACATTAAGAAACTATTAACTTTGTAGTGAACTTTCTGATCCATTTGTTAACTGCACTGTAGTCACTGCATTGATAAAATATATGTGGCTTAAAACTTTTTATCCTATGTAAATAAATGAAAACATTCATAAAATTTTTCCACATTTCATGAATTACTACATAAATTTTAAACTTAGTAGTTAGTCAAATTTTAATGTAGAGATGCTCTTCATAGCAGAAAATATAAATAAACTACTGTCAACTCTGAAAAGTCTTACCTATAACACTTAAATAACCACCTGGTGGTGGAAAAATAAAATGATATAATTTCAGCCCATCAAGTTCACCAGGTTTGAAGTGATATGAAAAATGGACAAACCAAGTATAAATATACTCTACCTGTAGTTTTTTATTTGTAAATAACTTTTAAATAACAATGAACACTGAAATAATGTTTTTTTATTTCTTGAAAATTTCAATGAACACAGTACACTATGCTTGTAATGTAATAAAAAAACCAGTTGCAGAGTAAGAAGTAAGTGTTAGGAAATCACCATCAGAATATAATAACTCTATATCTGTTACGTTGCTTTACTTGAATCAAATCCCAAAATTATTTTATGGGCTTTTAAAAACCAAATAATATATATATAATAGCCAAAAGAGCAGCTTGAGTAATATTTTAGCCACAATATACACATCACAGCCTTTAACTTTAAAGCACTTTTTTTTCAGTACAGCAGTTTAAATTAATTTTCTTCTTTTTTCTTTTAAACAATTGAACAAAACTACCATTTTTTTCAAAATTTAAAGCTAATTACATCCATATTAAGTAATTTTAACAAAATATGCACTGTGGTTCTTGCAAATTGATGAAACTACCACAATAGGAAGCCAGTGTCTTCACAAAAAGAAAAAGCATGCCCTTATCACATGTGCCCAACTTTGGAAGCAAGTATTCTTCACAATTTTCACAACTACATATAACAATAAAAAAAATATAAATTTTCAATCAGACAGTAATTTTATAACTAAAGTAAGCAATTTCAAATGCTTAATATTAAAGCATCCATTTTACAAACATAAGTTTCCTCATGTCAGTAGCACTTTTAAGTACAAATGTTGTCCAATCTAATAAAGTATTAAAGAAAGTAAAAATTAATGTGTATTACTATTAAAAATTTATATGTATAAATCTTTTACAATAAGGTCAAAACTTGATGACCTGCTAAAAAAAAGCAAGATGATAAAATAAAGATGAAATAGAAATTTTAAACTTAGTGATTCTCTCAGATGCTTATATTCATGAATAAAACAATAATTATATCAAAATAAAGAATATACTAATAAAAATGAAACAGATACCAGTCACTACTCAAGTCCTCAGCTGAGAAGAAACAAAGTCATCATTACAAACAAAACACAGAACAGTCAATAATAACATCTTCAGCTGAGAGGAAACAAAATAATTAATACAAAACAAAGACCAATGAATACCAAAGTCATCAGTTAAGAGATAAAGTCAACATTACAAACCAAACAGAGAATAGCCAATAAAATGCTCAGCAGATAGAAAACAAAATCATTATTAGAAAACAAAGCAATGACCAGTGGCCTCAACTAAGACAAAAAAGTCATTATTACAAAACAAAACAGAGATCAGACACAGATACAGACGTTTGCAGCTGATGAAGATTTTTTTATTTTTCCCCTTACATTTTTATTTATGTATTTTGATATATTCTCATCCTTATATAATTTGTAATTTTTTTGCTGTTTTCCTTAGTAGTTCTTATACATAATTTCTTTTTAAGATTGTTTTCTTTCTATTAAAAATAAAATCAAAAATTAATAATAACTGTGTAACTTTTTATCACAGCCCTTTAATTCTTCTTTAGCTTAATAAAATGTCTTTAGTAATTAACCTATACTACTGCGATACTGTGATAACTAAACCAAAATAATTTTTCTGAAGAAATCTATAAATGAAAGACAACTTCTATTTTCCAAACACAGCATCAGGTGGTGGAACTTTCTCCTTCATCTCTGTCTTCTGCTGCAATCATCCCTTCTATTCTTTTCTTAAGGCAAACAAAGTTCCGTTTTACAACAAATGAATAAAAGGGCTCCTCTGAAATGGATGATGTAAAATTTCAGTTAAAAAATCTGTTGTAAATAACTTATACTTTATGCTTTATGAAAATGTTAATAACCTCAAATTAAACTATAAACTATAGAATACTGAACTTAATCATATACAAACTATAACATTATGATTTCACTAATTTCACACATACTAAATTATAAAAATTATCTGTGTATGTTAAAAAACTCAGTTTATGATCATAACCAAATCTCCTGTGGTATTTAAATGTTCCTTAAAACATTACTTTTTTTTTTCTTTGCCTTCCTCTAACAGTACACATGGTAACAATGGAACTTGTACAATCTGTGAATATGTTTAATGATCTTTTTAACCTTTTGTTAAAAAATGTATGTATTACTGAATTTGAGCAGGGTAAAATCTGAAACAAAAAATAAGTTTTTACTTACCACAAAGATGAGAAAGAGGGCAAACCTCCAAGACAGTTGTGCCTGTTGTTTTCTGTAACTGGACTAGTTTTTCCATGACAAATTTAAGATGAGACTGGACAATGATAACTTTATTAGAAGTGCTAAAACGGCCAAACATCCAAACCTGTGGGGTATCTACAGTACTTTCCAAGGCTAATGGAACAGAAATTACCTGTGGGTCACAATAATGAAAAGTAAAAAATTACTCAAGCCACACTATCATGAAGTTAACAAAATAAAATTACAACATCTTAAAAATTAAAACTTAAACAGATTATTGAAAGAAATGCTCAAGGAGACAGAATTATAAGTTTATGAAAATCAAAAACATAATGCAATTATATCCAGTAACTGCCAGTAGTTTGTTACTACATGAAAATTTACTACAAAACTGTTTACTATTAAATATATTCTGTTTTACTATAAGATATACTACTCACATAAAGGACAAAAACACAACTAAGTTAAATATTACGTCATTCTACAAAGGGCTTCCTAATGTTCTTTTTCAAAAAAACTACTAACAACACAGCTTCTAACTGAAGTTAACTTTATTACGTTAAACAGCATTTCTAGAGCTGATAAAACATTCACTTCTAAAATCTTAGTAAAAATATTAATATGCCAAGCAACACCCTGTGTTAGTACCTCACTTAAACACTTGCCATAACAGTTAACAGTATCAATTACACACTATATTAGTACCTCACTCTAACTCATACCATGACAGTTTACAGTATCAATTACACACTATGTTAGTACCTCACTCAAACACTTGTCATGACAGTTAACACTACTGATTACACACTGTGTTAGTACCTCACTCTTAGCACACTATGTTAGTACCTCATTGTAACTCATGCCATAACAGCTTACACTATCTACTACACCAGTGTTTCTCAACCTGTGGGTCACGGACAAAGCAATCTGAGATAAGCTGCAAAAAGGCTTAAGATCAGATGACAGTATTTGAAAAAAAAGTTGCAAAATAGAAAAAAGAATAACGCATACTAAATAATGCCTCACAAAATGCTAACTATAAATTAATGAAAATTTTAATAAATTGCCCTAGAATTTATGGTATATTTTTTATTCAAAACAGTAGGGCAGAAGATTAATATCAGTTCATTTACTGTCAAAGGAGCAGGATTGGCAATATTGCCTGCAAAGCACACTGCTATACAAATTACATTTCACCTACTGTCATGCTCATGAACCCAGTATACCAACAATAATACAATATTGCCTGCAAAGCACACTGCTGTACAAATTACATTTCACCCACTGTCATGCTCATGAACCCAGTATACCAACAATAATACAATATTGCCTGCAAAGCACACTGCTGTACAAATTACATTTCACCCACTGTCATGCTCATGAACCCAGTATACCAACAATAATACAATATTGCCATACATATCATACTTCTATAATTTTCTGCTGGGGGCTGATGGAAATATCTTAAAAGTTTAGGTGGGCCGTGTTACTGAAAAAAAAGAGGTTGAGAAACATCGTACTACACAGTGTTACTACCTCACTTTAACATATCCATGACAGCTAATAGTATTTACAGGTCAAACTGATTGCATGCATCAAACACATTTATATAGAATTAATGATATGTCTCACCGTCAAGAACAGGTTTGCTAACAAGTACATGAAACCTACAATAAATCTGCTGAGTATGTCTTTCACTACAACCACCAATAAGTCATCTTTGTTTAGAGTCTGAAAGTAAAGGGTAACAGTTCAATACTGTTAGCAAGAAACATGTAAACAAAATAAAACTACATATTAACCACTAAAACCTCAGAGTTGGTAGTATTTCCACTATACTGAATCTGTGGTGAGGTTTTTCAATACCAAAAGTTATTTCTAATGCAAAAATTTTCAAAAGTATTGATAAATACATAATATAATGCTATTACACTTTCAAAATGCATCTTTAAAATCCTCTTCTGAATACCAGACATGAATACAATACATAACAATATTAGTCTCAAAAATCTCCCATGAAAACCAAACATAACATTGTTACAGTCTTAAAAAGTGCTCATGAATACCAAAAATGGCATTGTTAGTCTTAAAATCTCCTATTAATACCAAACATAACATTATTACAGTCTTAAAATCTCCTAATGAATACCAAAAATGGCATTGTTAGTCTTAAAATTTCCTATTAATACCAAACATAACATTATTAAAGCCTAGTTTCTCATGAATACCAAATATAACTAACTCTATTATAGTCTTATAAGTCTCTATCAGTACAGAGCATAATACTGTTACAGTCTTAAAAAGCTCTCATAAATACCAAACATAACATTATTAAACTCTATAAAGTCTCTCATTAGTCCAAAACCTAAAATTGTTACAGTTAAATATCTCAAAAATATGAAACATAACATTATTAGTTTAAAAAAAAAACTCACATGAAATCCAAATATAACTTTATTACAGTTTTAAAAAGCTCACATAAATATACATGTACATACGACTCTCCACTATAGAATTTTCACAACAGAATTTTAATTTATTTATTTCAAAAACAGAAGAAGATATTGAAAGTTTTCTATAGTCTGGAAAAAGATGGCTTCTTCCTAAAATAATAGACACTAACACTAATGAAGCAGAGGGTGAGAAGGAAAACAATACACAAAGAAGAGTAGACTCTTCAAGAGCATGCTGTAAGTGGATTACTGCTCTGGCCATAAATAAATATTTGTGTTTGTTAAAAGTAACAAAAACATATAGATGAGAGAATAAAAACTTCTCGAGCAATGAAGAAGTTTTACTATACTATTGCAAATGTTTTTTATTTAAAAAATTTCTGCATATACAAGTTATACTACAGTATTTTTTAGTGCATTTTCAAAATACTGAGTTTGTTTGGTTAAAATATTTTAAAGTATTAGGTATTTAATCGAAGCCCTTTAATTCAGTTAGTCATAAGGCAATACTGCCATTGCACTTATTACTGGAAAATCATAAAAAATATATATACAGTTTTGCAAATTTTTTTTTCATTTCAGACATACACTGTATGAATACATATCATTGATATATCAGCAGAAATACCATCAGAGCAAAGCAGGTGGATGTCTATATGTATTAAATGACCAAAAATCAGCTAAATAATGAAACCCATTATGTTTTTGTGATGAAAGCAAACCAGCCACTTGCATGTGAAAAGGTTGTACTGGATGAAGAAATATCTGATGATGATGATGACCCAGATGATAATATTATTCATAAAAATATTTATGATAAACTACACATAAAAATGGAGAAGCATTCAAATAATGCAAGGAAGTAAAGATGGATGAGACAAAAGTTCCAAAACATATGGTTAACTTAAAAACTTTAGGACTGCATTGTTCCAAAACTTATGAATAGTGAAAATTTTGCTCATCATTAATAAAATTAATATAAACAAGTTCTTTATGAATGTAACATGTGCTTGTCTGTTGCTAGTAATCTTTATGCTTATTGCTTCATACTAAAACAAATATTAGCTAAACTTGCATATGAAAAATACAGAATGAAAAAGAAACCTCAAAACACTTGTGTTCTTAACTCTCTAACACTTCTTGATTTTGGTTTGTTAGGTCTAACAAAACTATTTTAGAATTTTTAACTGTTTTAGGGGATATCACTCTTCTGACTATGTCAGCAATATTTAATGTGTGAAGTTTCTGTTTTATCTAGACCTGACCTCAGTTGACTAACACCCTATGAATTTGCAAATGTAAATTTTCTACAATTATGTAAGTTATGATATGGATACAGTGCATTTACATAGAAAAATAATAATGATACAAAATGTATTATATAATGGTTTGTGGTATTCAGATGTAGTTGTTAAGTTTATTGTGGATCTTTGAGATATATCATTGTTACCTTAGTATATATTCTGTGTACTCCTTGTAACATTTTTGCTTTTTTAGTGCCTGCAAAATGCCAGAGATAACTTCACTCTCTCCCAATGACAGAGCCAGCAACTTTGAAAATGCTTGTCAATATCCAATGTAGCTAATAAATGTTGCACATTAGGCAAGATCAGAAATATCACATTTTAAAATCAAGGATGACCGGGTAGTTCTCTTAAACACAAAATTGATAGCCTTCTTAAATTTTACACTTTTAGGTTGCCATATTTATATTACTGACTTGCATCATTGTAATTCCTATAACAAACTCCATTTTCAATACCGATGGACTGGTGATTGAAAGAGAGCTCACAAATTATTCACGTCCATTCTCTCTCTCACCGCAGACCTACATGTCCTTAAGTTTTTGGTGTCTTAGATTGTTGTGGAGCTTCTACATTTCAACTCTTTCTTCATGATGAACTCAGAATTAGGGGAGACACACTCACACACAATCCATACACAGATATCATTCCAACCTCCAATTAGTGGGCCCTAGCTGACTACTCTATAGGAAACTTTTGAATTGAGGAATATCACACAGTCGTGAATAACACTTGAACATTAAGCCTATTGACTGGTTTTAAAAAGCACACATGTATATAAATGTAATTTCATTGTTACTAAAACATTTATCTTAATTAAATATAATACTTAAGATTAAAACACTACAATTTAACTCTTTAAACCTGTGATTTTTCTACCAAAATTATTTTCATGAGTTCCTAATAATTATCACAGTACCTTATAAATCTTCAATTTTCTTAATTTTGTGGATGATAAAACAGTTTAGATTAGTTTTTCAGCCAAAAATACATAAATGTTATTGGATGTTGTTACCATCCAATGAGTAAATCAGGAATTTCAGGCAGACACAATTCTGCTCAGGTTTAACTCATAAAACAGAAAAGATATGAAGTTCTTATTTCATATTCTCGCTTGTCAAAATCAGTAATTTGAGTTTCTAATTTGTAAGAAACTACAGACTTTGTATTTTGACATCACAAATTTAAACATCTAATATGAACTAAAGCTGTATTCAACACAACAGGTGACACACAAAATCAATGTTTAGGTATTTTTTTTAGTATTTGCTTTTAAATTAAGAAATTAACCAATATATAATACCAAAACTTGAATTATAATCTACAATATGATACCAAACTTACTGACATACATTCATAAAATAGTATTTCAATAAAAGTTTGAATGTAAGTCTACAAACGTGGTGATATGCCCTTTTACCCCTGACTATAGGAAGATCCATAGCAATAGAGTTAAGAAGTTAATAGCATTTAAACTTTTTTACAAAAACATTTATCAACGACAGGTGCTCCAAAAAGGCATCTACCAAGTCTGATAGAAAAAGAATACACAAAATTCTTGTGTGCATAAAAAAAAAATTCCCAATATAGTAAGTCAGATACTTTGATAAAAAAATTCTGAAATGAATCAGCTCTGACTAAAATCAAGGGTTTATAATAAACAATTCTTGACACTAAGTTACAGGTATTAAAGCTTTCCTAAAAGTATTACATGCTCATGGTCCTATACAAAATTTAATAGTATAAGGTTTATAAGGATGTAGCTAAGCCTCTAGATAAAAAAAAAAATCTATGACATAAGCAATTATGAACTTTAATAACACTAAATGTAAAATTCTTTTTTTGGTTTGATGAACAAATAACTTAATGTCAATAAAGAACAGAAATTACCTCAAGTATCTCAATACATTCCCGTATGAGATACTGTTTAAAGTTTATCCCATGTTCTTCCATGTCACTGTCTAACCAGCTCACAGTGTCTAAAATTATCACTTTTTGGACATGAACTTCACTGCATTTTTGTTTTAATTCACCTTTACCAACTTGGAAACATAATTCCTAACCAGAAATCAAAATAATGATACTTATATGCAAATTATACAAGATGTATTACAGTCATGGATAGAAACAACTTTCTAATCACATTAAACAAAACCATCATGATTCTTTCCATAAATGGAAAAAAAACAAACATATGCAATAACATTAAAAAAAATTATGATAAATACTGGGAACAAAATTTCACTATTTTAATGGATTCTTTATTTATTTTACTTGTAATCTATATCTTTTAAATTTTCTAATTATTTCCTGTTAGAGATTTCAAGTTGTTAAAAATATATAATTACAAAACACATTTTCATAAATTAGGCAGAAGTGGACAATATGAGAAAAAAAGGAAACTATCTTCGTGAAAAGTAGTACTCCAGATTCACTTTTTTGTAATCATTTTGTCTTATACACATAGAAGATGATACAACACAGGAGACTGTCAAGGAACATTTACCTGAGTTTTTGGAAAGGCAGACTTAAGTCCATTAACAACTGCAGTCATCTTGCTACTGTCAGAATACAATATGCACACTTCTTTGTACTGCCATCTGGGCCTGAGTTGCTTAGCAATTATTTGTGAGAGTTTTGACCAATCCCACTCTGTTGAAAAGAAATCTTTGGCATTTCTCTGCTTTACACTCTATAAAAAAGTAAAGCATTTTTATATGATAGTCAGTCAATGTTATCAAGAACAATGTGGGTAACTGACACACTTCAAGTACTTGTGTAAAGAGGACAAAAGGGAACAGTTTCAGAAGTTATTTGTGTATCAATGACAGAAGCAAATGGATTTGGAACTTCTGTTACACATGTATAACAAGGATAGAAGAGAATAATTTGAGAATTTCTGTAAAACTACTTGTGTATCAAGAACAGAAGAGAACAGATTTGGAACTTTTGTAAAACCACTTGAGTAACAAGGACAGAACAGTTTTGGAAGTTCTGTAAAAATAAAAAAGATAAACAGCTTACAACTTTCAACTTCTGAAAGTTACTGTTATTTTATTTTCATTAACTATAAAAAAATTCTGTCTTTTATTAGCTGTATGACAAAGCTGTCAATCTATTAGTTTTGAAATAATGTTCTATAACTTCACAAATTTACAAAGTAAAAAGCACACAATTAGTAAAACCTCAAACTAATACAAATGCCATCAGTATCTTTAAATTTAGGTAGGTTTTTCAAATTCAGATTGAATTAACTGTTAAATTATGAGATTGAATTTTTTTTCAAGTCACATCATATGTTATTGTTTATGAACAACACTGATTATGTTCATCTTAAAGACAATTACTTTATGAAAATCTAAAACAAAGAATGTAAAAGCAGAATGAAAGTATTAGTTAATGTGTAATAACATATATTAATAGTCACTTGTAAAAAAAATAATACATACTTGAACATGATCTTTGAGTCTATGAAAAAGATTCAATAGAGGCTGTTGACAAAACTTTGAACTCCACACATTTCTAAAGGTTGCCCCAGTAGTTACCCATTTTTTGGAATTAATTCTTTCATAATTAATAGGAACTCCACACTGAAAAGTATATATATGGTATATGTTTTCTCATTTTGTACTTTGTCACTAAGTTATAGCTGTGTATTACTTACCATTTTAAACATTAAAATTTGCCTTACCAGTTCTTTAAGTTTCTATTACAATTTTAAAATGCTTTTTTATTATAATAACAGGTTCAAATCATATTTTTTCAAATTACTATAACTCTTCATGTACGGGCTTGATCATTTTGACCAATCTTGTAACCACCACATAAAAAAGAATATACATGCTATAGCTCTGAATTTATTGAGTGTGTCTTCATGAAATTTGAAAAGCTTTTAGTAAATATTGCATGTCTGTTGTACACAAAAAAATCACATTTTTTAATAAAGTATTTTTACTAAAGATTTGTCTCATATTGATTGTTATCATATTAACAATAAAACATTTTTTTTCATCTTAAAGTTTTCATATTTAATTTGCATAACCTCTACAACCCCCTAAAGGAATATCACAAATTTCTTTTCAGTAAAACTTTATATTGTAGTTGTTATTTTCTCTACTCTAACACTAACTGTATACAGTCTTGGTTAATATGACTGACTTTGTAACCATCATGTAACAAAAAAATATTAAATAATCTAAATTATATTTTTTTTATTTCTAGAATGTCCCCCCAGTGGCACAACAGTATGTTTGTGGACTTATACTGCAAGAAACCAGGTGGGCAGATCACAGATATCCCTTTGCATAGCTTTGTGCTTAATAACAAACAACAACATTTCTAGACTGACTGCATATTATAACAAACAGTTAAACACAATTAATTTTTACAACCACAGCTAATACTTTGCATATCTCCTGGTCATTTAGACTTAATACAAAAGCAATTTATCACAGCAGGGAAGTTTTGTGTAAACAAATGATCAAATTACCAGCATGTACAGTCAATTTGCAGTAACTTGGGCTCCTGACATGAATGTGCTTTTAAAAAATTTTTCTTCTCTTAAGTTTTCTAATCTAAACCAGTTTTTAATTTTTACATGTTAGTTATTTTAAACAATAGTTAAAACAAGAAATTTTATAACTACATGTGGGTCTTGAAATTTTTTGCTCACAAGGTGTCGATAAAAGTTAACCCTACTTAATTTTTATTTAGTTCAACTTATTTTTAAATATCCAACTTAGAACACAAAAAAACATGTACAAAGAATACAATGTCCTATAACTACTACAATTTAACTGGCTTTCTAATCAAGGTAAAATAAAGTAAAATCATGCTGTTGGTTAGTCAAGGTGATTCTGCAATATCAAAGAGTGAAGGTGTAGACTGAATAATACATAGCTGTCATCATAATGTGTTAGCCTCATAAGGAATTCAGTAAATTAAAATATTATCTTACTGTTGGTCATAAATAATATAAAATGTCAGACAGAATTGCTGACATTAATTTAAAGACGGGATGTGGCTTTTTGAAAACAAGAAGATTGGTAACTATAAATTCAAATTATTTCTTAATAATATCTAAACTATAACTGTGTAATTTATGTTAAACTCATAAAATTATATAGGGGTCAAAAAAATTCCCAAAATTGATAATTCAGAGTGAAGAGAAGTTAAGATTAAGGATTTATTTAACCCTATTGCCAAAGGTACCCTTTACTGCTCATAACACAAGGTTTTAGTGTCTTACATTAAACATTTTATCAAACTACTGTTTGTTTATGTTTTACCAATAAGTATAGCATGTTTATTAACCCACAGCACATTTCAATTTTGAAAATGCCCAAAATAAAGCACATTACTTCAGCTCAGCAGACTAACAAAGCCAAAACCTGGAAGACATGCAGTCCAAAAAGAAGATCCCAAAATTCATACAAAAATTCACTGCCTTTACCATCACAATTAATAACTTACATGGTCATACAGTTGACCAAGTACGAATATATCTTTTAGTAAAAATTTTTTTGCATATTTCAATCTATATGGATTTGTCAAGAAGAACATATGAACATAACTTTAAAATATACAGAAGTCAAAATGCTAATCAAGCAATACTTAATAGAGATGACCAAATATACATATAAAAAATGTTTTTCTGAAATACTAGAAATAGGATAGTCATTCTCCATACATATATTGTTACTAGATTATAATTAATTTTTATAAAACATGTTCATAAAACCAAGGCCAGTGCTATCCGTTAGGCAAACTAGGTGGTTTCCTAGGGTGCTAAAATCTGGAGAGGGTGCCACATATTCTGAACAAACTTAGACAAAATTAGCTTTTCTAAGATTTCTAACTAAAAACACAAAACTTAATGATGAAGAGAGCGATGGCTAGGAATGATGACAGTGATGTTAAAAAAAAACCTTTGTTGAGGAAGAGTGTGCAGTGTTAATCATTGCTTAACCCTTTAACCACTCCTCACCTTGCGAGTTTTATGATTCCGACTATCAAGAAATCAACCAATTTTGCCCTATTTGAACACATATTCTATGTGCTTCTTTTACTTCTACAAAGATAATTTTGCATTCTTTGGTGAGTACATGGTCTCTTTTTCTCAATATACACCATTTTTAAAACATAAATATAATTTTTAGTGGTGTTTATTGAATGCTAAAAAAATTAATTTTTTTCCAAATTTTTGGCACGCTGAGCACCAAAAGTTTTTAAAGTATTGCGAGGCAAAAGGGTTTATTTAGAGTTTTAGCCAGAAACAACTTATTCTATTATGCAGAAAAGACATAGCCTTAGACCTCAGCTCTTTGACAAAAAAAGGCCGCATAATTAAAGATAATTCTTTTTTTAAATAAAAATAAAAAAATATTTTTTACTTACAATAAAGGCAAAAATATGAGACAGCAGTTTCGACCCGTCTCTCAAAATGAAGATGAATTTTCTTTGAATACAGAAAAAGAAAAGTGGTGTTTGTCAGAATCAAGATTTAGCAAGACATTGAAGGTGAAAATACCTGTAATTTGAATTACAGTGACCCTGCTACTTGGCCCAAATGTGACAAGCATCTGTGACTAATCTTGGTGGAAAATGGACCAGAATAATTTCAGAAATACGATTTTTCTAAAGACCATAAACAAAGAAGATTCTCGTCAATTCATTACTGTAGAACACTTGCCAAAGGCAAACAAATACATAGGATGTGGTTAAGGTATTCAAAGTCAAAGGACTTGGTATTTTGCTTCTGTTGTAAACTTTTTACTGTTAACAACCCAAATACTTCCTCTCTTGCTGGTCAAGGTTGCAGAGACTGGGAAAACATATCTGTAATTCTAGCATTGCATGAAAGAAGTAATGAAGATTTGAATAATTTTCAAAACTGGAGATAACTTGAACTCAGACTGAACAGCAAAAAAACAATTGACAAAACAAATATGTGCCATATCAAACAACAACAAAAATATTGGCAACAAATCTTAGAATGACATATTGATTTAGAAAGAGTTCTTGTTATGCAAAATCTGCCTTTTAGAGGATCACATAACAAACTGAACGCTTCTGGCAATGGAAACTTTCTGAAGTTAGTAGAATATCTTGCTTTTTTTTGACCCACTTATAAATGAACAAGACAGTGGGAAATGTGCACACTACCTTGGGATAGAGATAAAATAAACTGATTCAGCTCTTAGTGCAATAAAAAAAAATACTAGCATCTACTCATGCTTCAAAATACTATTCAATAATCTTATATTGAACACCTGATGTAAGTCATCTTGAACAAATGACCATCATTCTTCAATTTGTAGACATACCTTCAGACACTGGCAATTGTAAGCTAGAGTCTTGCATCAAAGAACATTTTGTGGGATTTGTGTCACTTAAGGACACAACAGGAGATGGTATGACAGACACCATTCTTCATCAGCTACAGGAGATGCCATTACTGGTTGAAAACGTGTGGTAAAGGCTATGATAATGGAAGCAACATGAAAGAAAAATAAATGGTGTACAAAGGAGATATTGAAAATTAATCCACAAGCATTGTTCGTCCCTAGCAGTGCACATTCTTTAAATTTGGTTTGTTAATGATGTAGCCAAAAGTTGTCTGGAGGCAAAAGCATTCTTTGACCAGGTAAAACATGTTTATGTGTACTTTTCAGCTTCGACACACTGTTGGGAGGTTCTAAAACATCATGTCCCAAAAATGATAGTGAAACCATTAAGTAATGCAAGATGGAAAAGCCATATTACTGCTCTGAACTCTGTTTGCTATCAGCTAGGCAATATATTTGATGCCTTAATTAAAATCTCTGAGGATATTTCCCTTACAGGATCTTCTGCCATTTCTTTACGAATTGAGGCACGCAGGTTTGCAAATAACATTTCCACTTTCAAGTTCATCATTTCCCTCATTGTTTGGTATGATATTCTGTTTGAAAAAAAATTTAGCAAAAATTTCAAGAGAAGGTATTTGATATCCAGGATGCAGTAAAAGAACTGAAAGAAACAAAAAGTATCTTGTAAACTGCAGGAATGATGAATAGTTTGAGAAAGCATTATCAAATGCACAGGAACTTGCCGAGGAGTTGGGCATATCAGCAGAACTAGAACCACAGCCAGTCCAAATTAGGAGAAGGAGGAAGCAGTTCACATACGAGGTAGACGATGAACCAATTCAGAATCCCAAGGAAAAGTTCAAAGTGAACTTTTATTTGGCAGTCTTAAATGTAGCAATACAATCAGTTGATCCAAGATTCACACAAATGCATCAAGTTAGTTTGCTGTTTGGCTTCCTTTATGACATCCACGATATGCAGACAATAATAACAAAAGGAAATAATGGAACATTGCTTAAAACTAGTAAACATTTTACAACATGGTGATAACAAAGACATTGATGCCACAGATTTGTGTTGTGAATTACAAGTCATTGTGAGATGGGTCGAGAAGTGTGCCTCATCACAATACATTCTGAAATTTATATGTAAAAATAAGCTAGCAAATAATGTTCCAAATGTATTTATTGCTTTATGTGTGCTCTTAACATTCCCTGTGTCTGTGGCCAGTAGTGATAAAACCATAGTTATGCTGAACTATGAAGCAAGGAACTCTGTCAAAGGAATGTGAAATTGCTGAGAAACTTGACTTCAAACAACTTGTTTGCACATTTGCGAGATTAAAAGCACGAAAAGTAAGGTTTTGATGAAGTTCCATCAATAATATAATATTCATAACATAATTAATACAAAAGTAAGGTTTTGATGAAGTTTCATCAATAATATAATATTCATAACATAATTAATACAAAATACTTGGTATATGTAGGTAAATTGTCCCTCATTGTTTATTCAAATCCTGAAAGTATGCTTACGTTTATTATGGATTACCTGAAAATAAAGCTTAACAGAAAATTATGTTTTATTGCCATTTTCTTCATTGAGTTATTGTAATAATAATAATAACAATAATGATAATAATAATATGACTTGGTTATTTGCAGGCATAAATGAACATATGAAGCAAGATGAAAATATACACGTAAACAATGGTATATTGAGAGTTACAGAAACAATATTGTTATGGAGTTCTTATTTAGATTATGAAAACTTACTATAGGGGGTGCACATTGAAGGGCTAGCCTAAGGTGCTGAATACCCTTGCATCAGCACTGCATAAAAAAAAATTATGTAGACATAATTTTGAGAAGAAAAATTATTTACCATTATATGATGGCCATTCAGCTTGTCCACAATAAACAAAAATGTAACATTACCTGGTCTACATTACTACAAATGTATCAACAGATGATCACAATAAATTACTGATGCAACAATGCCTGATATACAATTTATAAAAACTGTACCAATCCATGATCTACAATTAGGGCATAGTGTTGCCCATAGAAATTACACTGCAATAAATATATTATTTATACTGAAATTTATGTCATGTTGTATTAGAATATCTCTTTACTTGTAATTTTTTCTGACTTTAATTTATCAACAGAACCATTTTTTTCAATCTAAAATGCTTCCAAAATTTACATTCGACCCTTTTCTTCACAACAAAATTGATATCTTTCTTTTGCTCCGCACCATTTCGTAACAAACACAACTATTATGAAATAAGATATAATCTCAAAGATATAATTATAATGAAATACTTAATAGGAAATTTCACACGAAACTATACGAAAAATGAGCTATTTTCAAAATTCTAGAACAGATTTGTTGAAGCTCAAGGTATTGATCTGTTAACTCTCACAATACAGACTCGGTCAATTTGAATGACCACGTGATCTTTTTGTACTCGTTTAAAGTTTTTATAGATTTAATACTTATAACTCTCAATATAGTATGTATATTGTCATGAAATTTGGCAGTCTTTCAGTTAATATTACAAGTCTTTCACATGTTTAAATTAAAAATATTTTTTCATCTCAAATTTCTTTTGTGTAATTCCTAAAACCTTGTAAATGCATTTCAAACGTTTTTTTCAGTAAAACTTTATAGTTTTCTGTTATGTTCTCTACCCTATCTCAAAACAGGATCAGTCACTTCGACCAATTTCATAACCACCAAAGAATAAATAAAGAATCGAAATAAACCTAAATTACCCTTTTTTCTTTATAGAATGACTTCAAATTGTAACATGAAATTACATTTGTTTATCCTAAGTAGCTCTAAGTTCATAACAGTATACTTCTATTTATAATTAAATTTTATTGTTTTATTGCTCTTTGAACCATATCTAACTCTTATCCACCCCATTATAAGTTGTAAACCACTTGGAGAATGTGCAGGTCATGTTACACGATTCGTATAACATTTCCAACAAGATACTTATTCTCTATTTTTAGATTTTAGTTACTTTTATAATAATAAAGAAAGAATAAATATGAAAAACAAGAAATAAAGTACTTATGCAATCTTTTTTCTTCTTTCTCTCGATTGTCAAAGACAGTTAAGCCTAATTTTTTATAGTAATGATAGTAGTGCACTTAATAATTTTTATTTAATTAAATAATGCACCAAAGAATACAGATTATTAATATGCAAAAACTAGACTTACCTCTCAAAATTTTCCTGGCTTTCTAACTATGCGACAAGAGCCGTTACAAATTCATCCAAGATAGTTGTTAACTTTCTCAGGGGAACGAATGTTGTACTGTGAGTGAAATTGACATTTAACTAATCAGAAAATACCATTATACAATACGTCATTTGATAGATGGAAACCTTGACTTTCTATTGGTTATAGATAATATATAATGAAATGTAAGAGAGTTTGTTTGTTTGTAGTTAAGCACAAAGCTACACAAAGGGCTATCTATGCTCTGCCCACCACAGGTATCAAAACCCGGATTCTAGTGTTGTAAATCTGCAGACATACCGCTGTGCCACTGGGGGGCACGTAAGAGAGAACTATCAATGAATTGTGAAAGAGAGGATGTGACAGGTGGGTGTGGCTAGGATGGGTCTGATTTTCTAATTGATAGCTCTGTAACCAAACAAAATTGAAGACTATAAAAATTATGGATTGTCTGAGCAATGATTTTATAGATAGTAATTTACATTTAATTTTGTACATTTTAGAGAGGTAGTGGATAAAATAGGGATGATGACATGTTAAGAGAAAATGTGTCACGTGGGTCACACTAGTGGAAATTCAGGATTTTTTAAAATATTGCCTTGTAGAATTAAGAACTTGTATACTATTAAAATATGGATTATTATCTAAGATTTTATGCTATTCTAATTAGTATAACATAAATAAAAAGTAGTTTAACAAAAATTTGAATGTAGGACACTAAAACCTTGTGTCATGCACAGTAAAGGTTACCTGGGGTGATAGGGTTAAAGTCATGTCATTAAAGGTATAGACAGTTTAATTCTCACCAGAAGTACATTTCTCCCACAATAGCCCTATTACCAATAAAAAAACCTCCCAACTCTGTTATCTATTAACACAATACAGAAACAGGACATCCAATTTCTCTCTCCAACTTTAAAACTCTCTCAACAGCTAAACATGATACTGAACTTTTTAAAAAAAACATTATGCATAAAAACTCTTCTTTGGTCCATACATAATACAGAGTCTTCACTTGATTTAAACTTATATGAATTTAACTATTTCATTTGTGCAACATTTTTCATTTTCTCATGTTATATTTGTATATTCAAATTGTTTACTTTTTACATATATATTTCTGTTGTAATTACAAATATTGTTTGTTTGTTTTGTACCTCTAAATTACTGATGATAGAATCCTGATGATTCTGAAACATTTAATAAATACTTCCTATTATCACATTTGTGTTTTGTATTACATTAAAATAAATGGACTACCATTATTTGATTACCAGTATGAAAAATACAACAAAATATACAAACAGACTTAATAAGAATACAAAATAATCAGGACACAAGCTAAAGAGACACAACAACTATCACTTTTAGACTAGGGAATAAAGTTTTACCTCCCACTCTATAACACAATCAGTTCTTTCAGAAAACTCGTAGTCTGAATCAGGAAAACATTTCTTAAAATGATCTGTTATTTCTCGTAGAATATCTTGCCAGTTGGAATCATTTGATTTGGATGGCTCTGTCATGACTTTGAAGTTCTGTCCCAAAGTATTCTAAACCAAAAACACAAAACAAAGTTACACAAAAATAATCTAAGAAACTAAATTATCTTTCCTTGTACTTTCAATAGGCATAGCAGCTTTACTATGTCTACCATTAACTCATTTGGTTGTTTTTTTTTATATTAGAACAAATCCACACTGGGCTATCTGAAGTTCCTCTGCAAGGAATCAAGCTCTGGATCTTAGAGTTGTAAGTCCATAAACTTACCACTGACTCACCAGAGGACTGACTTATTTGATGAAAAACGTTTAAACAATAATTTTTACATGAAGTGAAGTTTTTTTCAAATCTCACAATCAGTGATCATATATTTTGAGTCTGTGTATTTTAACAGTTGTAGAATAATAAAAGAAATCTGCGTAACCATATATATATCAACAAGACAACCATGATATATAATACCACTTATATTAGAAATATGATGTTATAATAATAAAGTCTGCTCTGATTAGAATGATTTGTTGTAAGGGAAAAGAAAATGTTGTACAAATTTACCACATTAGGCCTTCTGTCTTTTATAATCCTCTTGCAGGTTTCTATATATCTAATATTGTACTTCTGAAAGAACAGGTTCACACATTCATCCTTTACATGGTGTAAAAAAGAAGAGTCTTGATCTGACATATGGTCCCACAGACGCAAATTCTCCTTAATGGTAATTTCTTGGTAGCCTTTAAATAGACGACAACAGTTTTCTAACTGTTCCAGGAATCCATGTGGCAAACACTCCAAAGGAAACATAGCATTGCTAAGATATTGCTTTCCTAAATATAAGATGTGCTGCTTGAACATAACCATTAGTCAAATGTGGTATAAAATCCAAAACAAACACAGTATAGGTAACATGGTGCTTTCTATATACAAAATGAGCAGCATGAATATATTTATTACTCAAGTTTGGTAACACATTCCAAAACAAACACAGTATGAGTATCATGTTCTTTCCTAAGTACAAAATGAGCAACATAAACATAACACCTAGTCAACTATGGTGGACTTTCCAAACTGCAACACTATTGGAATTGTTATAAAACTGTATTACTACTTCTAAAAACAGTGGCTATATACAAGATAGCAATGGTAAGAACCACGTTCATAGCTACAAGGTTGAGAAAAAACAACAGTAGATGTCAGTGGTGGCTGTATATAAGATATCAATGGTAAAAACTATGTTAGAGATAGAGGGATGAGAACAACAATAGTAGAAGTCAGTAGTAGCTGTATATAAGATATAAATGGTAAAAACTATGTCAGATATAGAGGGATGAGAACAACAACAGTAGAAGTCAGTAGTAGCTGTATATAAGATATAAATGGTAAAACTATGTTAGATATAGAGGGATGAGAACAACAACGTAAAGTCAGTAGTAGCTGTATATAAGATATAAATGGTAAAAACTATGTTAGATATAGAGGGATGAGAACAACAACAGTAGAAGTCAGTAGTAGCTGTATATAAGATATAAATGGTAAAAACTATGTTAGATATAGAGGGATGAGAACAACAACAGTAGAAGTCAGTAGTAGCTGTATATAAGATATAAATGGTAAAAACTATCTTAGATATAGAGGGATGAGAACAACAATAGTAGAAGTCAGTAGTAGCTGTATATAAGATATAAATGGTAAAAACTATGTTAGAGATAGAGGGATGAGAACAACAACAGTAGAAGTCAGTAGTAGCTGTATATAAGATATAAATGGTAAAAACTATCTTAGAGATAGAGGGATGAGAACAACAACAGTAGAAGTCAGTAGAAGCTGTATATAAGATATAAATGGTAAAAATTATGTTAGAGATAGAGGGATGAGAACAACAACAGTAGAAGTCAGTAGTAGCTGTATATAAGATATAAATGGTAAAAACTATCTTAGATATAGAGGGATGAGAACAACAACAGTAGAAGTCAGTAGTAGCTGTATATAAGATATAAATGGTAAAAACTATGTTAGAGATAGAGGGATGAGAACAACAACAGTAGAAGTCAGTAGTAGCTGTATATAAGATATAAATGGTAAAAACTATCTTAGATATAGAGGGATGAGAACAACAACCGTAGAAGTCAGTAGTAGCTGTATATAAGATATAAATGATAAAAACTATGTTAGAGATAGAGGGATGAGAACAACAACCGTAGAAGTCAGTAGTAGCTGTATATAAGATATAAATGGTAAAAACTATCTTAGATATAGAGGGATGAGAACAAAAACAGTAGAAGTCAGTAGTAGCTGTATATAAGATATAAATGGTAAAAACTATGTTAGAGATAGCGGGATGAGAACAACAACCGTAGAAGTCAGTAGTAGCTGTATATAAGATATAAATGATAAAAACTATGTTAGAGATAGAGGGATGAGAACAACAAC